CAAACATTAAAATCCAAAATAATTCCTTAGAAAACAAGTGCATGCTTCAACTCTCTTCTACTAAATCCTGTCTTACCATGAAATTTGCCAATTATGAAAAACTAGAAGAACACCTAGGAGAGAACTTTACCCTTTGTTAAAAAGCTTTATGAGGATGTCTTTATAGTTTAGAACACTTCTGTTAGCAAATTTCTTTTTAAAACTTTAAAATATTATTTTTATAGAAACAAAATTCTTCCTGTTCTCTGATTTTTGACTACACTCATAATTTGAGTCCAGCACCTGTATCCATAGCTACTCAGAAAGCTGACACTAGAGGACTGCAAGAGGCCAGGAGTTCCAGGCCAGCCTGAGTAACTAACATAGAGACTCACATACCCAAAAAGTGCACAGAAGGAAAGGGGATGGGGATATTTGTGTCCACGTGGTTTATACAAACTGTCAACAGAAAATCTGCCTTTCTAAATTTTAATCTCAACTTCCTTAGGAATCTACACAGAATCAATTTAAATCCACAACTAAGAGCTTTATTTTTGTTATGTGGAGTTAAACTTACTAGTTATTACAAATGTTTAAAATCTGAAATAGTTATTTTTTAGACAAATGAATTAATTCACATTTCATAATAATACTTTGTTTGAAAGGATACTTTAAAACATTACTTGCCAGGAAGGACGCATTGTACCAATTTACTTTTAATATTCCTTTAGTAATCCTTCTCAGAAATTTAGCTATTGTCGAAAGGGTCACAGTTGACAAGACTATGTCAGATGTTAAGGCATTTTTTAGTATTTCAGATCTATTGGTCAATATTTCTCCTTTAGGAATCAATGTTCCTAATATCAACCTTTGCTTCTTACCAATCACAATAATGAACACCGCATGCAGTCCCATTTGCATTGCTTGGAGAAGGGAAATGGATGAGCAGTGAGGAAATACTGCTTAACAGACACTAACAGGACACGATCCTTTGGGTGAACATTTTGGAAAGATTTTTATTTTCACTGAAGTCTTATCTCTCAGTTTCATGTTAATCTGTTTCTCTCCTTAAGGAGTGGGCGGTCAGATGATCATTCTGATCAGAATGATCCCTTTGGTACTGCTTTACTTATTTTGAAGTAATGACCTATTTGAGTGGTTCTGCTTAGATAATAACAGTACATGCTTCCTCTCTGAGTGCCCAGCTTCTATCAGAAGCAAGGGGAGCCATCTTCAAGGGTGTACAACTCAGAAGGAACATGAAGTAGCTCACCCACACATGATTTGTAAGTCTTCTGCAAGAAAAATGTCTTGTGGTTGTTCAGTCTTCCAAAATGATCAGAGGACACAATCTTGTAGATTTGGTGTATGTAACCTTCCTCATTTTTGGAAGACAGTTTACAAAATTCAATCTTTCAAATATATATTTCCTACACTGCATCAGACAATGAGCATTTGGGTAACTACAATATGGTTCTGCAGTTCAGAAAGACCTTTAAAAACAACTAACATGCAGCAGGAAATTGTAACTGTCCCAAGAACTGTAAATTCAAGAGAGATTATATCCAGCTGCAATTGGAGCTAGGAGAAGGTGGAATTTAGTGGTAACTTCACAAAGGAAGATTATATCCAGCTGCAATTGGAGCTAGGAGAAGGTGGAGTTTAGTGGTAACTTCACAAAGGATTTGCATAGAAGACAGGGCAAAGGTTCTTAAAGTAACCACACACACACACACACACACACACACACACACACACACACACACACAGAGGAAAGCTGAGTTTCAGAGAATCTTACAACTTTTCTGGAGCACAGAACACACTATATAAAAAGTAACTACAACATTAGCTAAAATCAAAACACTTCATAATCAAACATCCTAAATCTAATAAATCACATCAGTATCTTTACCTCGAGTCAATTGTTCAGTCTAATCACATAAAATTAGGTACAAAGAAAATTTATAAACTGAAGTAAAATTATTAACGTGCATTGGGAACTATATAACCAGCTACTCAAACACATGGCCAAGAGAATCTTTTTGTTTCTTAGTAACAGTTAAGGTACAAGGAAAATATTAATTTAACCTTTAGCTTTATCAGTTTACAATAATCACAAATTCCTTTCAGGCCTGATAGGGTAACTCTATAGGGTGACTCCTATGATGGCATAAAATCCTCAAGGGAGGCAATCACGTGACTGTGTGCTGCCGTCCCTCCCACATTTCAGAGGCTCTGGGGCACAGCACACTTGGAAGCTCTGTGTAACTTCACCAGAGAGACTTGGCAATCAGCCAAGAGGCATCCAAGAGGCGTCTGCTATGGCAGACACTCCTAAGGTGCAGGATCTTCCACAGAATTCCAGTTCACCCATCAAATAACATCTACTGGGGATTTAGCTCAGCGGCATAAGCGCCTGTCTTGCAAGCAGACAGTCGTGAGTTCGATCCCCCCCCCCAAAAAAATAACATCTACTTTAACAGGTTGTGTCAATGTAGAATACATTACATTCTAAATGAGAGTTAATAAACAAATTTCCCTAAAACACAAAACATAAACAATTAAAATATATAATTTATACTTTAAGGTAGCCTTGCGAATATAATTCTACTCCATTAAGATAAGCTTTAAATTTTCCTCAAAGAGTTGGTTTCCTCAGAATCTTACCAACAGCAAGAAAACGCGCTGCCAACTTGTTACAGCGCATGGAGATTGGGCTGTATTTGCAAAGTTCCCTATTTTCATGCACACTCCTAACGGAAAACCAACAGTGAATGTTTTCATATCTCATATAAATAAGCTGACATGACCTATGACACTGATAGTGAGATACTGCAAGAATGATCTAAAATGTTTGCTGTCTTGAAAGAAAACATGTTTACAAACATGCAAAAACACATTGTTCTGTATATTGAGTAGCTATGTCATTCTAGTATGCAAGCTTCCTACAGGAAAAGGGGAAAAACTAAGGAAAACAGCCTGTTCAGCTCTGGTGGAAAGGTGTTCTACAGCAGCAAATCACAATAAACCAGACACTTGTCCTCGTATGAAAATCTTGGAAAAATTTTCATTTTTATAGAACTCTTCATCTCCCTCTGTGGTAGCTGTTCTTTCAGTCTAGACACCTTCTATGCAAAGATCGCTGAAAAAAGAGCTATCTAGATCCTTTTTTTTTTTTTTTTGTCTTTTTCGTTTTTATCGGTACCAGGGATTGAACTCACGACTGCCTGCTTGCAAGGCAGGCGCTTATGCCGCTGAGCTAAATCCCCAGCCCCTAAAAAAAGAGCTATCTAAATGACTAAACTTTTCAAGATGATACTTGACAGCCAAAATTTAACAATGTTAAATCTACAAAAATTGGGGCTGGGGATTTAGCTCAGCAGCGTAAGTGCCTGCTTTGTAAGCGCATGGTCATGAGTTCAATCCCTGGTACCGATTTTAAAAAAAAAAAAAAAATCTACAAAAATTTTAAAAGACCTGGGAAACCGCGACCTCTTTTTCTTCCTTCTACTGGGCACTTTTTTCAATCATCACAAAGGGCTATGTAGAGAAGGAGTGGTGTACCACTTGAGCAGAAGTGTGGCTCAAACTGGTACCTGGACTGAAGTCCCCATCTCTGTCCAGTAGTGCTTTCAAGAAAAATGGCAGGGGCTAGGGGCTGGGGATTTAGCTCAGCGGCATAAGCACCTGCCTTGCAAGCAGGCGGTCTTGAGTTTGATCCCTGGTACTGATAAAAAAAAGTAAAAAAAAAAGAAAAATGGCTCCAGACAGATTCTTTTTTTTTTTTTTTTTCTTTTTCCTTCTTATCGGTACCAGGGATCGAACTCACGACTGTCTGCTTGCAAGGCAGGTGCTTATGCCTCTGAGCTAAATCCCCAGCCCCTCCAGACAGATTCTTTAACTGGCATGTTTTCTTTCCCTTTGATATCAAAAATGTTTAGAATTTGGGGTAAATTGATGAAAACAAAAGCTGTCCATCATAATTTGCTGGTCAGGTTAATAAATTTGCTTCACACTAAAGTTAAAATTGCAAATTATATTTTTTATACATATTATCAAGTGACTAGAAATCACTAAACATCACTTGTAACATAAATAACTCATTCTAAGTCTTCACAGAAATAGACCCTATTTTACTATCACTCATACAAAATGGACATGAATATTATATTACCAAAAAACAGGTCCTCTAACCACTTTTTTTTTTGTCTTTTTCCTTTTTATCGGTACCAGGGATCGAACTCACGACTGCCTGCTTTACAAGGCAAGCACTTATGCCGCTGAGCGAAATCCCCAGTCCCCTCTAACCACTTTTTAAAGGATGAGATACTTAGACTGAAATACACCAAATTATTAATATTTCTTCAAGGAACAGAACTGTCATGTAACAAGGAAAAATGTCACAACAATCTCTCAAACAAAGAAGTTAGCATTTGTAATATCATATGATAAAATATTAACTGGACGGTAGGGACATGATTGGTTGGGGGTTTTTTGGTACCGGGGATCGAACTCATGACCTTGTACTTGCCAGGCAGGTGCTTATGCCACTGAGCTAAATCCCCAGCCCAACTGGTTGGTTTTTGACCATGGATTGTTATATTATTCTTCAATTTAAAAAAAATACCACAAGAAAAAGAAAATCTCTGGTGAACGACAATAGAGAAACAGATATCTGGGGGCCAGGGATATAGCTCAACAGCACAGCACCTGCCTGGCAAGTACAAGATCCCAAGTTTGATTGCCAAAAAAAGAAGAAGAAAAATAGAGATATTTTTCATTTCCCTGAAGCCTACTGGGATGGACAAGGAAGGGCTAAAAGGGAATAGGAGGCCGAGAAGTCGAAAGGAACACAGAAAGTGAGTAAGGGTGGGCATCCTCAAGGGCCCCAACCCTCTGCAAATCCTAATGGCAGGAAAAGAAAGTGATGGCAGCAACAGCTGATTAAAAGTGGGAAAGGCACAAAGATGAGCGCACACTTGCCCACACACAAAAACATTTCCAGAAAGTCATTAACTTACCAGTATGTACTATAGCTACTGCAATCCATACACACTGTATGCTGAGGTTTGTCTTGCTTTTCTGATTTCTTAAAGTTGGTTAAAGGTATTTGCGCATCTTCATAATGTTTTTTGGCGTGGCCGTTCACATACCTTACAAAAACCAAATGAAAATTTACTTTACTTCTTTAAAAGTGTTAGATGAGAAAGAACAAGAGCATGCATTTAGTGATTAAGCTACTTACTTAAAATTTACTGTTTTTACATTAAAGTAAGACAGTCAGATCTTAATTATAGTCTAGACTAAGGCCAGGAAAGGAAAGGCATTATCTATGCAAATCAATTTCAGTATATTCGATATGATAACTTAGAAACACCTATGCCAAAGTTATTACTATAGTTTTGGGGGTTTGTTTAGTACTGGGGATCAAACTCACGACTTCACACTTGCCAGGCAGGCGTTTATACCGCTGAGCTAACTCACTGGTTTTAGTTTTTTTCCTTTTCTTTTAAGGTCTTCTCAGATTGCTAGCTGCCAATTTGATGCATCATCAAATAGAAGCTCTGTGAGTTAAATTACTCAACCCTCTCAATAGGATCACAGGCTTTGCTTGGGTTACCGCTTAATCTAAAACATGGAAGATGTGAAAACAAGAGTAATTTTCAATCTTACTTATCTTTTATTTGAATGCCCGAATAATCAGTGACACTCGTGGAAACATATTTGCTTAGAAACTATTAAGACAAAGCACAAATTATCTTATGATCATAAAAAGCTTATTTTTGTAGGCAAATATTATCTTAAGAGTATAAAAATATTTCTCTACATAGACAAATATAACCAAAGGTTAATTATGTTCACAGAAATTTTGTAACATTTTCCAACTCAGATTTAATAAATTATTTTATTACAATAAGCAAAAAGAAATCAAATTAAGGGTTCATATAAGCACATGGTATGCGCCCAAATTCATCAATACCTTTACTTAAAGATGGCAGGCACAATGCCATCATTGCCCACTACTGTGAAGACCCTCACAACACAAAACTTCCCAGCTCCTTGAACACAACCAATGGTAGAAGACAAGGCCTATCAGAAAACTCAAAACAGCCAAAGCAAATGTTGGTTTACGGCATCAAAGTAACAGATTGAGAAGGTTGAGGTGACATTTTCATCATGAGGCACATTAACTGTGCCGCATGGAACAGCACTTACCTTTGGAAAAGTAAGATAGGTGCAGAAAAGAAAGGTGCAGTACGAAGCGGGGAGCAACTTCAAGCCCACCTCTGTACCTCAGGAAAGCTGGCATTATGGACCTTAACTCAAAAACTTAATCATATTCCTTTCCTATTTTGTCGGTGTGCTTTAAAGACAACTAACATCTGGGTACACACAAGTCCTCTGTCCTCAAATGTAGAAGATAATGAACTTTAAAGTAAAGGATAGGCTAATAAACAAGACTGCCTTGGCTCAAAAGCAGGCTTTGCCACGTCCTGGTCATACGTGCTTGGGTGAGTTACTCAACCGTGCTCATCTGTGAGTGGAGATGTTAGTATTCAGTACAATATTTGTGTCTCATGGGTGGTTATCAGGTGATTAACTCATGGCTCAAAACAAATGAAAGTAATTATTTAAGCAGCATATCCCCTTACATATCTATCTACTCAGATACAAACATAAATGGCACATTAAACATGTATTTAGAGATAACGATAGGTCAAAAGATACTATTTAATTAAAAAGATAAACTGAGTGACATCGCATAGGTTCAATATCTAATTATTTTCTATTTTCATAACCTATATATGTTATATACCATGAAAAATGATGATAATCTTTATGAGAAAGAGTACCTTCAGGCCCAAAGAAAATGTAATGTAATACTGAGGGGCTGGGGATTTAGCTCAGCGGCATAAGCGCCTGCCTTGCAAGCAGACAGTCGTGAGTTCAATCCCCGGTACAGATGAAAAAAAAAAAAGAGAGAAAAATGTAATACTGAATGATAATAAATAACATTACTGCTTCAAGTCTTTGAAAACTGGCCATTTTCCCATAGTACACATACGACTCATTTGGTTACAATAACATAATTTCTGATGCACTAAATGTTTAGATGGTTCTCATAACTGACAGTGATAAAGTAAGAAGTATGCTTATCAATGACTTTAAGGTTAACAGTGCTTTGGCTAATGCCCAAAGACAATGGTCAGACATTAATGGCTCTGTATAAACTAGAAAACTAAAAGAAATGGATCCTCCATCTAGTTTTGGATTTTAGCTACTATAGACATTTTGGTGTACAGCATAAAAGGAAAAGTTTCATCATATGTGCCACATATTCTAGCAACCTCAAAAATTTGAGAAGTTACCTAAATGTATCAGTGTTATAAAGACCATCAAAATATGTAACTCAAATATCTTATTGATAATCCACGATTCCTAGTTGGAAAAAATTATTCAATTTAAGACTTCTTGGTAAAGCAAGTAGTCTAAAATTACTGAAAAATCAGTAAATTTGGCAATCCACACCTAGAATTACATGATTAAAAAAATTAACCAATCAGTTATGTAAAATGAAGATCCAAAGTCAGGCTACCTTAATTATATGTTCAATCTGCTTAATCATATTTCTCTGAAACTAAGTCAAACTTCTAAATTTAACTTTGCCTGCAACTGGAAACAGTTTACTTACAGTCCAGCAATCTTTCAATTTTATTTTTCTAAAGCCTAATTAGGAAATTACTTGTTGCTTGCTTTGTTGATTTGTTTTGTTTTGCTTTTTGAGATGGCATCTTGCTATGTAGTTCATCCTGGCCTTGAGCTCAGTATGTAGCCAAGGCTAGCCTTGAACTTTAATAATCTTCCTGCTTCAGCTTCCCAAGTGCTGGGATTACAGGCATACTCCACCATGTCCAGTTTGTTGCTTACTATTAAAAACACTAATCCCTTTAAATTTTTCTCAAATTTCTGAGGTCTTTTCATTAGCTTATAAGCTTCAGGATTTAGGTATAGAGCACTATGAGACAACTGGAGGACAAAACTACACATATTTTATTGCATTATAATTCTCACCTCTCAAAATCTAGGAGAGGAATCTGTCTCTTCAAGTGCAGAATTTAAATGCTTCTACTTTTCTTCTTTTTTTTATTAAGTTATCTGTACTGTACAAAGTATTCTCAGGTTCCCCAAATCCTAGAGATTTTAAAACCACAACAGCCACAATTAAGATAAGCAGTTCACATTTTCCAAAGGTACTCTTAAGTGTACATGGAAAGAATACTGGACTTCAAGATTTAAAATGTAAAAAATCAAGTTAACTGAACAAAATGCTCTCCTTGTGCAATGAAGATTTAAAAGTGACAATGGGAAAAATTTTTTCAGACAAGTACAACATGGATATCAGCCTATGATTTAGTACGATTTCATACTCCTTGCTGTGAAGCTATTAACTTTTAAAGTAAATCAAAGTAGACTTTCTATGTTAAAAGAGCAGCAGGAATAAATGTGCTACAATGGCTGAAAGAACTTAGAGGTTAATATTTGAGTTTGTGTTAGCAAAAAAAGAGGTCCTGGAGTATTTATCATTTTGAAGTCAAGGACTGGAAAGTAAAGCTGAAGGGTGAAACAGGTGGGGTGGAATAGAAGAGGTTAAATCCATGGAAAACAAAATGTTTTAATGGAACAGCAAACTAAGTGGTATATCTTAGGTAGGAATAACTGATAAACTCCCTTATGTGTAAATATTTATTTTGGGACACTTTTATCCTCCAGGACGATCTGACATTGGATTCAGAAGTCAGTGAAAGTAGGGTTAGAACAGGCGAGAGGTAAGACAAGCCTAGCGGAGCATTAATTAATTCACTATTTCAGTTCACTGATGAGGGCAACACTCCACCATGACCAGCGTGTCCACTGTGCCCCCTAAAGGCTTAGAAAACGATCATCAGGTAAACTTTTATTTCAAGATTTAAAAGTTTCCTCATTTTATCTCTCCAATTCAGTATTACTAGTAGGTAGTCTTGATCCTCACTTCTTCTATTTATCAATGTGATATATTTATTTCCCTAGATTTTCCCCCAGCTGCATCAGAAAACAAAGTAATTCAACTGGATATCAAAATCCTACAGAGAATTATGTACTATGACTAGCTGAAGTACAAAATAAATCAATAAACTTTGACATCGAGCTTAAAGGCAAATTTTAAAAAGCAAATAGAACAGTGAGGTAGTAAGTATGTCACCTACCTTCCACAGTGGACACTTGAGCAAGTCAAACAGACCCAGGGGCTTTTGTTGGACCGGCACACTAATAAAAAGAAAAATACAATGTAGCAACTGTGTCATATTATTCCCAATTTCTTCCCTCTTCCGTGCATATTTTGTGATAAACTCTATGGCTGCGTAGGTGCACTAAAATCACAAATTCCTGCTTTGTGAGTGCATTTTCACAAAATGGCCACCTAATTAAAGTTACACTGAAAAGAACTTCAGTGCACATCCTTGCAGCTGCTCATTTTAATTGTTGACTCAATTCAAACAGCTTAAGCACAAGTACCCACACATTTTTGTCCTTTATTGTTTATTCCCTTTTACCATGATCGCCAACAAGATAATGAAAGTCCATTCAAAACATTTTTTTGAAAGTCTAACTTTTTAATCATGTATCTTTGCCATGCCAGTCATACACCACTATAAACAACAACCTTTGCAGCTTATGTAGCAAGAAGCATAACCTAAGGTTTCAATTAGGAACAGTAAGGCTAGTTTTCAAGAAATTCTCAGTTGCACAAAATAAATACCTGCGCATAATTCTTAGTGTTGATATAATCAGGGCATTATTTTATTTTAAGCATTACAGGGCTGGGACAGACAAAAAGGGTATGTGTAGAAATTTTTAAATGCTAGTTAAAATCTTTTTACTGTTTATTCAATTTTTTTAAAAAGATGTTCCACCATTTGCAGTAACACATACTTGTCTATACTGCTCACAACTCAGGAGGCTGAGGCAGGAGGATCACAAGTTGGTGACAACCCTGGGCAACTTAGCAAGACTTTGTCTCAAAGTAAAATTTTTTCAAAACTGGGGATATAGTTTAGTAGCAGAGTGCTTGAGGCCCTGCATTCAATTTCCAACATGGGAAAGAAAAAAAAAAAAGGTCATGATATAGCAATGGTTTTTAAAAGGAGAGCAATATATTTTAAAAAAAAAAAAAAAAAGGAGAGCAATATAGTATCACCTGTAAAGCTTTCTCAAAACACTTCTGTTCTACTCAGGCAAAGATCAACACTGAGGCTAAAAAAGAAGCATAGCGTACATGTGTGTTTCCAGGAGAGCAGCTTCCCTAGTGTCACCTAACACAGCAGATCAGGAAGGCACTACGCCCTTAGAATCATAATAAATCCACTTCGGGACACACCGTAGATGAAACACTTGCTGAAAAGAAAGTTCAAATATCCTAGTTTAAGATGTCAAGCTATTCCACTACTTCCTACTTTCATCTCTTTTGCATTATCACATGTAACAAGGCTCTCTCACATTTAAGAAAAATTAACCAAAACTATATATAAGACATACCAGGAACTGTAAATCCTTTTAGTGCATAATGAAATATTAATAAATTCTCCCAAAGATATTAAAGTATCATTGTTTGACCTGCAGATGGCTGTAATTAGGACCCAAATTTTGTGGAATCACAGATTAACTCCTAGATGTTTATTTTGCAAAGATAGTATCTATTCAGACAGCTCCCAAGATTCTGATTTTACAGCTCTGTGGACAATAATTTTGTAGCTAGGCTACCAATTTTATTCCAGGGCTCTTTTTCAATGTCTGTATCCACTCCCAAATGCTTTTGGAACCTGCTCTATCTTGTAGTGGTTTCCTCATTAGTGAGATAAGTAAGTCTTATCTATGTTCATTCTGTATCTGGATGAGAGGGGAGAAGGGAGGAAAGGACACAGGACAGCAGAATGATACTCCGCCCAGGGCACTCTCCTGTCTGGCTACCACAGGGCTCTGCTTTTGAACAGCAACACAAAATTCTTCCAGTTCACCAGTGCCATGCCCTTTCCTCCATGCATTCACACCTTTACCTTCACTGACAAGGCCATCCTTGAAGACATCAGAGTTTTTGGCTTACTGGCGTTCAATTCTATTATACATGCATGTCAGCTGAATGACAGAAAGACCTAGAAGAATAGGTACCAAACTGCTAGAGGTAATTACTTCAGGGAGATATGTGGGAAAACTGTGAGGCAGGACTATTGGGGTTTTACCCACTTCTTTTTTTTTTTTTTTTTTTTTTTTTTTTTTTTTTTTTTTTTTTGCAATCTCTGCAGTGTTTTCTCATGTTTCAAGAATACAGTGCAAACTGGGCATGGTGGCATAAATCTCTAATCTCAGCACTTGGGAGACACAGGAGGATCACTGCAAATTTGAGACCAGCCCAGGTTACAAAATGATCTAGGTGGAATGTGGGTTGGGAGACAAGAACCACCTCCACTCCCATTCCCACCCCCATTCCACAACCCTCCCACCTGCTGTGCAGGCAGTCAGGTGATTCAGAGGAACAAAGGCTGGAGAATAGCAACTAAGGTACAGAAATAACTTAATGCTTGTACTGACTGATTGACTTGATTGACTTTGCAGGCCTGGGGCTGGTATTCGGAGCATCTGTTTACAGGATAACAATATGCCAACTATGGGGGATTTCCTTCTGTCTTGTTTTTGAAATTCAATATTGTTCTCACAAACAATTTTGAGATCTTATTTTCCCACTATTGTTAAATTTTTAAATTAATAGATTTCTTCCTATTTAGAACAGGTTACATATATGTACTCTTAAGATATCAATTATTAATTTTTTAATTTCTAAATTTAAAATTTTTAAACAGTATATCCTAACACCAAGGGGAGGATAGGAAATAACTGCTTAACAGGTACAGAGTTTACTTGGGGATGATAAAAACATTTTGGAGCTAGATAGAGGTAGTGATTGTTCAACAATGGTAAATGTACTAAATGACAATGAATTTGTTTGGTTTTGTTTGTTTTAGTTTTTTTTGAGACAGGGTCTCATATTATAGTTCAGGCTGGCCTTGAACTCACTGTATTGCCCAAGCTGGCCTCACACTCATAAGGATCCTTCTGCTTCAGCCTCGGAGTGCTAAAATTACAAGTGTGTGCCACCATGTCCACTTTCTCTTTAAAATGGTTCATTTTAGCGCTTGGGAGGCTGAAGCAGGGGGATCATTGCAAGTTCAAGACCAGCCTGGTCTACAAAGTAAGCTCACAGCCAGTCTGAACTGCATAGTGAGACCCTGTCTCAAAAAGACAAAAAAAAAGGTTCATTTTATGATGTGTAAACTGCACCTCTGTAAAGTAGACACACACATACATAATGCAAATATATAGATAGGACTAGAGAAAAGTAAAAGGCAATAAAGTACTAACCCCAAAAAACACTGGGAACAAATGACTATACCTATTAGGGGTCTGTGCTTGTTTGTTTTGTTCTGACACAGTGTCTTGCTGTGTAGTTCAGGTTAACCTTACTTCACTGTCTAGCCCACGCTGACCCTGAATTTGCAGCGGTCCTCCAACCTCCACCTCCTGAGTACTGGGATTGTGCACTTTTCAATAAATCTAAAAACATGAAACAAAGCTCAAGTGCAAAAGAAAAGCTTCACTTTCTGAGTCAAGAGATTTTTTTTTTTTTTTTTTTTTTGGTACAAAACAGTTTAGAGGGGCTGGGGATTTAGCTCAGCAGCATAAGCTCCTGCCTTGCAAGCAGGCAGTCGTGAGTTCGGTCCCCGGTACCGATAAAAAGGAAAAAGACAAAAAAACAGTTTAGAGATGGTCCCAGGAGAGGGAAAGCTTGCAGACAGTGGGTTAATGAGTGGGCTCAACTGAGCACAGTCCTACTGGGGACCTTTCAAGAGACTCCTAACTGACTGCCAAGGGAGAGGAAAGCTGGAATGTTTCCCTACCAACTTTCACTTCAGCCCTGCTCTGCCTCCATAACCCTGAAATACCCTGACGCTGAGAAATGCAGGTCACCCTAAGTGTTGATAGAAGCTTTACGCAGGGGCTAGCATTTAGAGGAGTACCCAAGGGCTGAGGGAAGTTTGCTGACACTGGCTCCCACGCTGTTTCTCTTTTTTTTCTCAATTTTTTTTTTTAAATTTTAAAGACAATACAAAACCAAAGATAGAAACAACAAAGAATTTTTTTAAAAAATAGGAAATTAACACTAGTTAATATATTGCATATTGTTGCCTTTAAAGCAGTTGCTCAGGTTACAAGATTTAGGTATGAAAAAAATGATCAATGAGGGGCTGGGGATTTAGCTCAGCGGCATAAGCGCCTGCCTTGCAAGCAGGCAGTCGTGAGTTCGATCCCTGGTACTGATAAAAACGAAAAAGACAAAAAAAAAATTTAAAAAATAAAAATGATCAATGAGACCACAAACTGTTCTTGATGAACTTATAGAGCTCAGTAGTATAGTGATCTATCTTGTCTATATAAAGACATACATATATATATGTGTACCTATATACAAATAAGAGAGCTTATATCTTCTACCACAAACATTTATGCTAAGAAAGTTACTATGAGATAGGACTATTGACTATTTAGATGACAGTGTCCCTGAGGACATACGTGCTGTCGGACCAGAAGATTACCGAAAGGCTAGAAAACTAGAATAGGGTGTGATAAGGGGGTCAGGGAAACTGTGAAGCCAGTGAATGGAACCGCTTTGGAGAATATTGACCCTGATCATGCACACCTTACTCAATTTAAGAATCTTCAATGTACCCAAGATCATTATATTTTAAAACGAAAGGAAAATACACCAAGTAAAGTAGTACGTGCCTGTAAGCCCAGCACTCAGAAGACTGAGGCAGGAAGATTACTGTGGAGTTGGAAGCTAATACGCCAACCTGGACTACATGATGAGTTCAAGGGTTAGGATAATCCTAACCCTAACACTAAGCTGGGCATGATGGTGCATGTCTATAATCTCAACACTCTGGGAGGCTGAGGCAAGAAAACCACAAGTTTGAGGCCAAGACAACTTAGTGAGTGACAACTTTTCCAAAACAAAAAATAAAAAATGGGCTGAGGATGTAACTCAGTGAAAAGGCCCTGCATTCAATCCCTATTATTGCAAAAAGAAAAAAAAAGAAAATAAAACAATGATAGCATAAATGAAAGAATACTACAAATAACTTTTAAACCATGTATTTTAATCACTGTTAGGGGAAATACAAAAGTAAGTTCCAATATATTAAAATGTTTCAAAA